ATGTATAAGTATTATATAAAAATAAACAATTACACAAAAATACACATTTGCTACAATTAAAATGAAAACTTTCATATCATCATACATTTTCTAGTTCTGTCAAATGTTCTTTTTTGGTATTCTCCAACAATTGCTCTAGTTGCAACTTATCCTCTATATGTGTATTTCTCATATCAGTCAAATTCTGTTTATACTTTTCTATTGTAATAATATGTTTTTCATTCGAGAGGTCCAATTCGGTTTGAGCCTGTTGCAATCGATGGCAGGCCTAAAATAAATAAGAAAATTAAAAAATTAGATGATTAAAATAGTAGTTTCTATAACATGTGTATATATGTATATACACATACAGAAGATACACACATCTTTATAAAGTCTTTGAAGATCCTCTAATTCTTCTACAAGAAAAGAATTTGTTTCTTCTATTTCATTTGCTTTCACTTTTGCTTCTGATTCACATGTCTTATAAATTTTACTTTCTGTTAATAATTTTTCCTTTTCTTTCATAAAGTCATTTTTCAAATGTTGAATTTCTTTCTCGTGTTTGTCAGTAAGATCGGAAATTCGTTTAATGGAATCGTCAGCAAGTTTCTCGTATTCCGCTTTAAGTTCATCTAATTCACACTGTAGAGCAGATAACTGAGCTTGAAGTTCCAAAATAACATTCTGTTTTATTTCCAATTTAGATTCAAGATTAGATCGTTCTTGAGTCAAATTCGTAACACAAACATCGAGCTGACTCTTTTCTTTTTGTAATAATCCAATTTTGGTATCATGATCGTGTTTTATTGCTTTTAACGTGTTTAATAATTCTTCAATACGCATTTCAAGATTTTCAATCTATTGAAAAAAAATATAATTTTTAGTATAGCAACTTATATATCACGCTTTTTTAAAATAAAACAATCTAATTTACCATTGTTTTTTTCTCTTCTTTCTTGGCACACAATTCAGCTTCTAATATTATTATTCTTCTTGATAATTCGGTTGCATGATTTCTAAGTTCTATTTCCATTGTCTTTCGCATTGAGATCTCTTGTTCTTTTTCTTCGGATACTTCTAATAATTGAGAGCGAAGCAGTTGCGCTTCTGCTTGATGCTTATCATCATGATTGTTTATTATTTCTTGTTGCAATTTAGCCTGCAAATTAAAAAACATAACAATATTGACATTGGTAAATAATAAATAACTCTTCTATTTGGAAATATCGTATTAACCATTGCTTCTATATCTTCCGTATGCTGCATTTCCATTTCATTTTGTTTCTTGTGCAGTTTCTCTATCTCGGCTTCTAATTTCCGCACATCTTCCTTCATTTCCTCTATGTGCCTCTCATGTTCCTGTATAGTCTTGTCCTTATTCAAACATTCTACTTGAAGATCCGCAAGTTGTTGGTTGGATTCATATTTCATGTTTTGATTTCTGTTCAAAAATGTGTGTTCATTTTTTGTTTTAGAAGGCTCCGTTGGTTTCGTGATCAATCGTTTCCGCGGCAATTGAGGCTATATAAAAATATGATTGTAATTAATTTTACAATATATTCAAGTTCAGGAATATATTTTAACATAGTAACATCTCAAAAACAATCTGGCATATTTTTATACATTTTCTCATTCAAATAGACTCTATGTTGTCAAACTAGTTAATCAGAAACTGTGAAGAATCATATTAAAAAAACTCCATATATATTTACAGATTAATCAATAACAATATATACACAATTCTTTCCTTGTAGTTGTTCATTCTATATTATGTATTTCTATAAGCAAAGCTTTGTTTCAATATTGCAATTCAATCGGCGACGAAATTTACGATAAGTCTTACCGCTCGAAAAAGAGAAGTCGATGTAGTTGTATTACTCTTTCCTGATGCAATCGAAGCATTGCATTCCGCGCTACTTGTGCTTTTAGCATCTAAAAATCTATCAGATTTCTCGATAACAAATCCTTTTACTTTATTGTCGAATTTCGGATCGTAAGCGCCTGGCGGAGGTGCTTCGCCTGCAAAATCGTAACATACCTTAATAAATAACATGCAAAATCTATTTAAATAATCATTTTTTCGGTTGCAGATCTTAATATTATATCATTATTGATCTGTCGATATCATCTGGAAATACATATTTTGCTATAAAACAAATGTGTTGATGCTATTAACATATTTTAATGATTTTAAAAAAATTGCATATATATATATTATCTTTGTAATATTTTAATTTCTGATTGTACAAGAGAATTATTAGATCTATATTTATTAGAATATTTATTAGAATTATTAGAATATGTGTAAATTCAAACTTGGCAGATTTATAAGAACTATTTTTATAAGTAATAATATTGTGTAATATCGTGTAACTGCGCAACGCAAGGACAAAGAAGAGGAAAGACGCGGTTAAATAGACTTCCTTTTGGCGCGCATGGGGAGAAACAGGCGCAAATGGGAAAGACAGCTGTTCTAAATGCGAGGGATACATCTCTATGGGGTCGTAGCATAACCAGGTGTAGAGCCGGCAATGTTCCCACCCCATCACCCCATCGTGTCCATACGCGATAAAACGTCTTCTTCTTTTATTGTCTGCCGCGCGTTCTCTTTGCGGGGATCAATATATGAAATTTAAAGGTCCCTAGATCGAGAGAGACACAACGATATATAAAATATAAGAAAAAAATAACGAATGTAAAATATGATATGGTTTATCTCTTTTTTACTTGAAGTTATTTACACAATGGGATAAGAAGACTTTGCAAGGAAAGTAAAAACACAAATGGCGAGAATAATAATCACAATAAAAAAACAGATGTGATTGAAGAATATGTTAAACAGATCGTGTAATCATGTTTTTTTTTTGTGGTTGATTTAAATTAACTAAAATAGGACATATGTGTCTCTCATAATCGATTTCACATTATTACCTCTTACATGCATTTTAAGAATAAAATTTATAATGAAAAAACTTTTGAGCGTTTTTGTGCGTGTGTGTAATAGCAATATATTAGAAATATATGCATCATATATAACAGGAATTATTTGTATTTACTTTTTTATATTGTAAAAATAATACAGTTATTTTTTATTTAGTATATGTAAATTGTGTATTATATATATATATATAATCACAGAATACAATGTAGCTCTTTGTAATATCGATTTACGTAAAAAGATTATTTTATATAATATAATAGAACTAATATATTATATAAAGTGTTTCAAAAAGAGAGCTTGAATCTTCTTTTGATCACTCTTAGCGCTCAACTTAAATCAATTTTTCTTAGCAACGATATTTTAAAAAATCATCCAAAATTTTTAATTTATAAATAATTTAAAAAAAAATAGATTTTTCGAGAATTATATTTTAAAAAGCATAGACATAAATAATAAAACTACATTCTTTAGATATAATTTTAAATAATACAAAATATAATTATTTGAAAAATTCTTTTTTGTTTGAGTTTTAAGACTGCTAAAGATATTATACTAAGAACTCAAAAGTTTAGATAGATAATGATGATTTCAATTGAAGACTATGTTATATTCGACTTAATATACAACCTAAGAAATTAATCATTAAAGGGATATTTGAATCTTTTGATTCAGGATATCTCCTACATATAATATATATATATATATATATATATATACAAAGCGTAAAAGTTGATGCAAAAGCGAGACGAACTTTGCGTCCACCCCATATATTCTTATCTATTAAAGTTTCATATTTCATATCATATGTACACACATATGTGGAATTCTCTTTCTCTCTCTCTCTCTGTCTCTATCTCTCGGCATCAAGGTTTTCCCGCCACATACATATTCGAAATTATACATTAACACAATTACGCAAAATGGGTAAACCTGGAAAAATACAAAATGCACAAATAGATATAAGAAAACGACATACAAATGCGTTTTATAAACATAAACGTTTTGTAACATAAATATTTGTTTCAATACTTCTTCATGCAAGTATAACTTTTTACTTTAATAAAAAAAATAAAAAATACAGAACAATGCAATACAATCACATAATAATAATATCAGTTCCATTAGAATGTTAGTTTAATTTATAACGGAAAAAAAAAAAATTTATCGAGCGTAGTGTAGTAAATGAATATACATATAATATATATGTCTCTATCTCTCGGCATCAAGGTTTTCCCGCCACATACATATTCGAAATTATACATTAACACAATTACGCAAAATATTATAAAGACAAATTTCATATAATTTTTTAAGCTCATTTTAAAGAAATTTGATGCAATAAAAAAAAGTTTATCTTATCAATCAATTGTATATTGACATAGATATTAATTAAGCATTTCATTAAAAAAAAAAACCTCATAGTAAAAACTGTATTGTTAATTATTTTAAAAAATTTATAAGAATTAAAAAAGCAACGAATATATAACTACACCACCGTATATATTGATAAAAACACGTTCGAAAAAAAAAACCGTCAAGACGCCATGCATTATATATATTTTACAGTGTCCGAAAAACACATGTGCAATCGAAGATAGAATTCCATCATTCTCTTCTAGGTATATAAATATAAATAAGAAACTGTCAAGCAGGATTAATCAACCAATAAAAGCCACACACTGTCGACACAACAAGTCCTTGTTACCTGTTACAACAAACAACTTACTTCCAAGTTCGTTGAACCGTTGTATCCTCGCCTTGGAGAAAGACATATCGCCTTATCGTGCGTGTATATTCTTTAATCAACAAATCCAAATTCGCTCTGCGAGTTTGTTACCAAGGGGAACGCGCACGATAAGAAGCAATGGCCGTTGGCACCGATCAACGTTTTTTTTTTTTCTTACCGTTGATGGTCTTCTACGTCACGTACCCCGCTTGAGCGAGGAAGGAGATGCGACCCGCGCTTTATCGCATCGAACAGAACACTGCTCGCTTCCAGGACTCTTGACACGACTTGTCGCCGGATCGGTTATATTCGATTTGAAATGACGGTTACGAACCGCGAGAATGCTGGCGATTCGTCGTATAGGTTGCGTGCCCGTTGCGCAAGCGACCAATCAGCGGTGGATCTGTTTGCTTGCGTCATCGTACGTCTCTGCACTTTGCATAGATGCATAGTGTAAATTGCACTGCACTTTGGAGAATATGAATATTTTATGAATTATTCGATTATTAGATAAATTATTATCCAATTATTTTTATTATATATTATTAATAGAATTAAGCATATTTTCTTGTAATATTTTTTTTCTTTCTCTCTCTCTCTCTCTCCTATTTCCTTCCTGCAAATATTGGATATAAACTCTAAATTGTGGAAAATATTTCAAATATGTAAAGTGGAAGCAAAACAAAGATATTTATTAACTTTCTATGCTTTTTAACAATTACAAGCGAAAATGCAGGTCTAAATACTGTAAAAGGAATAACACGTGAAATATGTCAAATGCCACGTTGTATTCGATGGACCAATAAGGCTTCGCACAATATCGTAGTCCACGCGATTATCAATATACCAATGGCTGCTAACACGAGTTAATGCATATTGTGATCGCCGGTCTTGTTTCTCGTTGTAAATTTCGTGGTATATTAATCTTTCGTTCGCGATGAAGTATAAACTTTATATTACATTCCTGGTTCTATTCGTTTTGAGCTTAGGCTATGTCGCCTGTCAGTACAGAACGAAAAACGTGAGGATTTCTTGATATTCCATTCACCATTATTTGCAAGTCAAGTCTCCCCACATGTGTTTCTAAAATATTATTTTTTTTTCCTCACAGAATCAAGGTTCCTCCTTGACGGAGCGTGTGCAACAACTGATGGAAATGGCTATGAAGAGATCAGTATTGAAATTCAATGGGCCAAAATTTAAACAATATATCAAAGCTACTCCGAGAAATTATTCTATTGTAGTTATGTTTACTGCCATGGCACCTCAGAGGCAATGTCAGATTTGCAGGTAAACTGACATGTATCTATTCTCGTGAATAGACTGTTACAGAGAGTATAAATGTATTAAATCATTGTTCTTGTCATAATCTTAGGCATGCCAATGATGAATTTACGATAGTAGCCAATTCATTTCGATACTCTCAGGTGTACTCCAACAAGTTATTCTTTGCTTCTATTGACTTTGATGAAGGATCGGATGTGTTTCAATTGGTAAGCAAAAAATATTTACAAAACTGCTAGAGAATATGATTAACGCAGAACTGATTATAGATGAAGTTGAACACTGCACCGGTGTATATGCATTTTCCACCCAAAGGGAAACCAAAGCCTGCTGATACTATGGATATCCAGAGAGTAGGATTTGCAGCAGAAGCGATAGCAAAATGGATTGGTGAACGTACGGATATTCAGGTAATACTGTTACAGTTTTTTCAATATGTCACATTCATTGCATTGAAATCGTGCTATTTGTAATATTTATTTTATTTAATTTTGTAATAGTAATATTTTATATATATTTTTAATTACAGATCAGGGTATTTAGACCACCGAATTACTCTGGCACAGTAGCAGTAGTAATGTTGTTAGTTCTCATAGGAGGTTTCCTATATCTGAGACGTAACAACTTGGACTTTATTTATAACAAAACCATTTGGGGTCTTGGTGCTTTGGTAGGTATATTTTTTATGATTATACATATATATATAAATTTTTTTGTTACTTTTTAAACAAAAATTTTGATTTACTTGCGTTTCTAGTTCTTCAGTTTAACTATGACATCTGGACAAATGTGGAATCATATTAGAGGTCCACCTTTTATCCACAAGGTACCAAATGGAAATGTAGCTTATATTCATGGATCTTCTCAAGGACAGTTTGTATTAGAAACCTACATTGTTATGGTTATAAGTATCCTTTTTCTCTATAAATTTTTTAAGAAATTACTTCATTTAAAAAAGATCTATATAAAGATACAGAAAATTGAATTTGCACTTATATTATAACATAGACCTTAATTGTATATGAAAAGATGGAGCAGTAGTATTAGGAATGATTCTAATGACTGAGGCTGCTGCTCGTAAAGGTGATGTTAAAAAGCGCAGGATATTTGCTGTGATAGGTTTGGGATTAGTTGCAATTTTCTTTAGTCTTCTTCTATCAATATTTAGGAACAAAGCACAAGGCTATCCATATAGGTATGTATGTAAAACATTTTATCTAGATATAAATTAATATAAACATTTTATGTTGGAGCATGGTGATATTGTTGGAAATATTGAAAAAAGATATATCACACAATATCATCATGCTTCATGTTTCAATCTTTGTAAGAATTGTTGTTACATTCGTATCCCAGGGAAGAATAATTTGTCTGTTTCAGCTTATTGTTCAAATAACTAGATACGTATAGAAAAAACATTTTCATACATTTTCCACTATAATGCGAAACATTTGGCAATTTGGTATGGAATAGGAAATCAAGAAGATTTTACACAAATAAAGGGTAAAAAATTATATATTGTTATAATTGTTGTATCAATATCTTTATTGTATTGTATGTAATGTAAAAAAATCCATATTTAATATTACTGTTCTTGAAATAAGCGCTATTATATGAAAATATGTATTTAAATTAATACAATAGTGAAAACTTATTGAACCTCTTAATTCAGTGTGCATTTTATTCATTAACATATAATAACTATAAATATATTTACATATACATATATAGTAGATCATGTATACATATATCAATTATTGATTCATATATGTGTGTGTGTGTGTGCTATCCTCAGAAAATGATATATAAATGCCTGGTTCTTCTATGATATTTCTCTCTCTTACCAGATATAAGGAATTAAAATCTTTCTTTCTTTTGGATAATTTTTGAAAGTTGTATGATACCATTTATGGGACAGAATTGCACATTCCAACTAAAAAGAGATTATTTGTATTCTTAGCTTTTATCAAGACAAGGAAAAAATACATAGAGTTATTCTTTGTACCTGGTTTGTTATAACCCAAATAGTGATGTAATGGAATGTAGAAGCTTGCCAAAGAATCACAGATAACATTATGTATATAATTATTTCTGTAAGTTGCAATGGATTTGATATATACTTGAATAATCCACCAAATGGTATCTTGTGCTCTTTAGTTATGACATCGCCATGTTGATTTTTACGTAATCCCACAAGAATAAAATTACTTTTAAGTTGCATGTATGATGACCATAAACATATAAGCATACAGATTAATTCTATGGTTGTTAATTTGTACAAGATTACACTTGTATGTGAATCTGGAATTAAAACAATTTTTATGAATTGATAAAAGACAGTATATTTGCGAAAATTTTCGAAAATATACCTCTAATAAATCCTTCAGATTCGCCTATTATACATAGAAATATTCCTGCATAATGTATAAAGCCAATCAAATAAGTACTTATATTCATTTTTTGATCGCTAAATACATTAACATGACATGTCTCATAAGCTCTTTTCCAACATTGTATATTTAATATAACAATGGCTAGAATTACATTTTTTGCTGGTACTAAAAGAATAATCAACTATAGTTATACACATATATACATTTCTAGATGATTGATAATATAATTTCCACATAAAAGAAGTGCACACTTAAAGATTTTCTTGATGCTCCCAATAACATATCCAATAATGCAAATACAATTTCAGGTATATTCCCATTCAACAGAAATTTGTACAAAATTAAACAAAGTGTAATAGTTGATGCTGGTCCAGAAAAAATATAAAAATGTCTAAACCATCTAAAAAAGAACATTTAAAAATGTTTACTTATTAAAGCGTGTGTATATATATACATATATAAAATTTATTTTTTCAAAAAATATTTTTAATAATATAATTTATTATTAAATATACAATAAATTGTATAGTAATTATTTTTGTAATATTTTAATTTTTAACTTACCTTTTGGGCACATTAAAATTGGTTAATATCATATTATGTGTCTTTGTGGCAACATATTTGCTATACAAAATATCTGCTATAGTTAGAGGTAAATAAGCATGTATATACTTGGATAGTAATCCACATAACACCATAATCAATGCAGATGAAATGAAAACATAACGTATAATATTTATATCCATTTCTTTGTTAGTAATGTTTGTAAACTGATGAGGAAACTATGAATATGATGAATTTAGGTGAGCTGTACTTTCTCCTTTAGATCCAATTTCACCGAGTCCGGCTAAATAAGATAAACCGACGGTTAAAATTAGCAGGGTGGCCAACAAAGAATAGAGGTGTGCAATACAGATTGCTGTAACAATAGCATATAATTTTGCTTCAACAAACATTTATAAACATTTATATTGTATGCAAATATCTAATACAATGCAAATATCTAATTAAATAGTGATATCACTACTTAAATAATTAACTCTACTCGGTATATTTATTTATTCGTACGAGCGGGTTTGATATCACTACTGAAATTCATTTCATATTTCTATTTTGAAAAAGGATTCGCACATTTCTATTTTACACGAGGAGCTTAGAAAACGAAAGTAAAAAAATAAAAATTGACATAAGATTCCTTATTTTCAATTACATGCTATTTATAACATTAGAAATTTTATATTCTTTTTCCCTTCCATCATTTCTTATCATAAATTACTCTTCTCGATAATATTATTTATGTTTGATAGCTAAGTATAAAAATTTAACTGTCTACTTTCGATGTAATTATCACTTTATGTTACTTGTGTTTGATAGCTGATAATATTCAATTATCACACACAAGCAACATCATGAAGAAGAATAATTTATGATAAAAAATGCTGGAAGAAAAGAATGTAAAAAGTTTCTAGTCCTTGTGACATTTTAATTTTCGACTTACCTTTTAGACTCATTAAAATCTACTGACATCGTACGTGTTATCCTGGTGTCCTTGCGATAACATAATACTTTTTTGCTATAGAGAATATCTTGTTAGAGGTTTTGTATTTATACGCGAACTCGTAAATACACACACACACACACACACACACACACATATATATATATAAATAGATTTGACAAATAAATTGTATAAATTAATAAAATATACTAACAATTTTTTTTCTGATTGTGTGTAAGGAGCAATAAATAATTGTAAATCTAGAGAAATCAATTGCTGTAAATTTCATACTGAAAATATAGGACGCATACAAAGAGATTAAGTTAGATATGCATTTACTAATATACAGGATAATAAATAGTAATTTCGGCGTATGTTAGCAACTTGTACTATATCAAGCGCGAATAGTACATATGAATGAATTAATTTATTTCGACATTTTTTATAAGAAAAATGTTACACGCTTCTAACATCATAATTCAATATAGCTGCAGAATAAATAGGGAAACTATATAATATATATGTATTTAACAAGGTCAAATATGATGAAGATACATTTAAAGAAAAAAATATTTTATTATGGATCGATAAAACATTATATTCATATATATATATATATATTATATATTTGTAAGAAAAATGTGATTATTCTTCGTTTTAGTTTACAATGATTACTTAGCATTAGCTTTAACATACTACGATATTAAACTAGCAAGATAGCAAAAAATATTTCTAAATACATATTCATATTAAGAATATGTTAAATTGTGCGCGCGAACTTCTATTCTAAAAATTAAACTATTATTTTGCAGAAAATTGGATATGTCGCATATGCGTACAAATTCGGTATAACCGAAGCTACGTTTGTTCAATTCACACGTGGGTTTTCGAAACGCTTCGAGATCTGGTCTCGACGATGTTATTTCGCATATATTTTTCTCCGAATCTTGCGGATGTACTAATACAAAGTGCATTGTGCCATTAAACGGCCAGTCTAAACCATCATCGTTCTCCGATTTCATAATGTGCAAAAGCAAAGATAGATAATTCGAGTCTTTAGAGGATATATTAATTCTGGCGCAGATCTTATATCCATTCGAACTCGTGTAAAAACCCGGACTATAAAACATTTTTAGTGGATCGTTAATCATAGCCGTGAGTTTCTCTTGGAAGGATTGTAATCTCCATATGTAAATTCCATTGCAATTTCGTAGATACATAATTGCAAGCTGATTTTTCTGATTAGACACTGTTATAGAGAGCTCGCGATTTTCCTGTTCCAAGACTACTATCCTTTCATACAGATTTCTAGAAGTAAAGTTTATAATTTTTACATATATTTTAATGTAATATGAAAACACAGTATCTATATAATTTATATTTAAAATACTTGAGCAACTGTTGCCAATCGGGAGAAGGTTCTTCTTCGTTTGCAATCTGTGTCCCATTCTTTGGAGGGGGATCCCATAATTTTGATTCCTCTGACATTGCATTATTGGTATTTTGTACTGCCGAACAATTATCAAAATACATTAAAAGAAAATTGGAACAGTTTATATCTTTGACTTTATATGTAAAATATACCTTGAGATTCTGGAAGATTTCTTCTATAAGTGCACTGACTGATATGTGTTTCCATATCCACAGGAGATAATTCTACTTGGCAACCAAATTGCTGATAAGGACAAGTTGTACGTTTCTGAGAAATCTCTCTACTAGTATAAAGATCTCTAAAGAGATCATTCCCACATCTCAAGGGTCGACTATCGACTGGACAACAAGCACCTTCTTTCCTGATAATTTATGATCAACAATTAACTTGTATGCAATGATAAATTGATCTTGACACATAAATGATTTTGAAATAAAATACAACTTACTCAAGCCAAGTATAAATGCACTGTGAACAGAATTTATGTCCGCAAGATGTTAAAACTGGATCGCGTAGCCATGTTAGACAAATGGGACACTCGAATCTAGGCTCTACGTAGCCTTTGATGTTCTCATGACACTGTGTGTAACGAAATTGCAAATGGATTTACAAATGAACGACCATATTAGTATAAAATTTTACAGCAAATGCAGGTATGATATTGTGAAAGTCAGCAATGGAGATTAGTTTTGTCTGATAATCAAAAATTAATTTTTTATTTAACAAACAATCATAGAAAAGCCGTTGGAACTATCATAAGAAAAAAAGAATATCTTAGTTTTTATAAATAACTGAAAAAATACGTACGGTTACACTTTCCTCGGCGATTTTAGCAGATATAGACGCGCTGTTTGGTGTCTCCATCACCTGCAATAAGATTATTAAATTTTAGATAACAAAATCAACATGATTACACTGTAGTAAACTATTTTTCATTTTGTTACATATAAGCAATATTTTATTATAGGAAAAAACTTACTACAAATTTTACAATTTTATAAAAGTATCACGGAATTATGAAAGCACACTCTTTTGACATTATACCTTTCGATTCAACATATTATAGTAAATTAGTGGAACATACAATTGGAATCTTCTTATAGTATATTTCTGCATTACCAGAAGTGCTTTGCTACTCTGGTGATAATAAGTATCACAGAATTATGAAAGCACATATATGGTATATTATTACGTTACCAGAAGAGCCTTGCTATTCTTGTGATAATAGAATAGTAAGTAATAATCAATGTTGATCAACTACTCCTCTCATTTCATCTCGTATACATACGCACATAATAATGAATATGATAAATGTAAAAAAATATGTGTAACACATGATTATTTATTTATTCGTTTATTTTTAACATAATTAATGTACAAAAAATTTAATGTAAAAAAATTAAAGATGTGTATATTTTATATAATATAAATATTAATAACTTATGCTAAAAAACATTAAGTTAAAGATACATGTTTTAAATTACCAGATGTAAGGAATCAAAATTTTTCTCTCTTTTGGATAATTCTTGAAAGTGTTTCGATACCATTGATCATATAAAATTGCACATTCAATCTGCGAAAAGATAAAAATAATTTACATCTTTGAATTTACATTATTGAAAAAAAGAGAAATATAAAACTCGCTGTTTCATACCTGATTTATTATAACAAAAAGAGTGACATAATGAAATGTAGAAGCTTGCCAGAGGATTCCAGATAACATTAAATACATTAATATTTCCGTTAGTTGCAACGGATTTGATATATAATTAAATAGTCCGCCGATCGGTATTTTGTGCTCTTTAGTCACAACATCACCATATTGATTCTTACGCAATCTTGCAAGAATAAAATTACTTTCAAGTTGCATATATGTTGACCATAAAAATATAAATGCATACACCAATTGTGCAATTGTCAATTTATGCAAGGACAAATCCGTATGCGAGTCTGGCAAGAAAGAGATTACAGATTATAAATCGCACAAAAAAATAGCATGTTTAATATATCTGGAAATTTTCACATAAGGATATACCTCTAACAAATCCTTCAGACTCCCCAATTAAAGATACTAATGTCGTTATATAATGCAAGAATGTAAGTATATAATGGAATATATTTATTTTTTGATCGCTAAATACACAAATATAATACATTTCACATATTCGTTTCCAGATATGTATGGAAAACACGAAAATAGCCAGAATTATACTTTCCACTGGTACTAAAATGATAATTACATACACACATTTACATATACATATATATAAATTTGTTATAAAACATTAATAATTCCCAGATAATGCAAATGCATACCTAAAGCCTTTCTTGATGTCCCAAATAATATATCCAATAATGAAAGTACAATTTCGGGAGCATTTTCATTATAGAAATATTTGTTTAATGCAAAGTAAAATAAAAATAACAGTATTGGTCCAGAGATTATATAAAAATGTCCAAACCGTCTAAAAATTCAAAATAATTGAACTTATAGATATTGCCAAAGCATTAAGTAGAAAAGAAAGCGCTTTTAATAATTACGATAAGTTATATAATATTTTTTGAAAAAAGAAATTTATTTATATGTTTTAACTTATTACATAAATAATAACGGCTAATCAAGAGAATTAAAGCGCAGGTTGTCGATACGTAATCATCAAATGTTTCTAAAAATTAAACTCTTGGAACTTAATTGTGCGCGTAGTACACTCTCTTCGATTAGAAACGATATAATATGAAAAATAATTTCAAATTGAGAAAAAGAAAGACACACAATTAAATTTCAAGAATTAATTTTCTAGATATATTCAGAGAATATTAATATATGCATCGTTAATTTGCACTCTAGTTCTTATTGGTTCCTAATTATTATTTCATTTTCAAAGAGTTATATTATTATTTACTTTTTTTAACTTACTTTTTGGGTATTTCGAGTTTTGTTAATAAAGCGTGATGAGTCTTCGAGCTACACTTCCCAAAGCGAAAACCACGAGATATAAAAATAGGTAAATAGGGTTCCACATAATTAATTAATAAACTTATCGATCCGATAGAAACTGATTCAAAAATTAGAACATAGTATACTATGTTTACATCCATTACTTGATTTGTTATGCTGAACATGTTAATATATACATGTATATATATGTACGATGACCCTGTAAAAAAAATTAAGAATCAATATAAAAAATTTTCGATATGTGTTTAATGTGATATGTGTAATGATAAGTATCATTGTTAGACGATAATTTTTAATATTTCACTTTTTACAAAATCCATCTTTAAATTACCATGTTATTTTCTTCTAACATATGTCTGACATGTGTACAAATATGTAAATCATTTTTAACAATTTCAATTTTAATATTTAAATTTAAGCACAAAACAATTTTTTTGATATTCGTAATTCATCTAATGTATGTAATTTAAAAAAAATACGTTTACATATATTATACAAATCAAATATACAAAATTCGAGTACTACTTTCTGAAAGTTGAAGCATACAAATGATTGATAGAAAATATTTTTCTGCTATATTTATCGCAATAATTCATTCTTATTCTTGAAAGTAAGCGAATGGAAACTGCAAGGCAGCGGTAACAACAATATTGTATTATGCCAGCGGGGGAGGGGGAGGGGGGGGGAGAACAAGCATATCATGATCATAACAAGCAATCCTCGATTTTATTATGAAACTAACAAGGCTATAGTAGTTAACTTTCTATTAACTTCGTTGTGAGAACACGGATTCGCTTATAATTTCAGCAAACATTATGAACCAACATCTAGATTTTAAGTCAGATATCATAACGACAGTCAACTATTAATATCTCGTCAAATGATTAATTTACATCATTTAGAGAAGAGATAACCGATGTCAATTAACAACAATATTGTAAGAAATATGTTGTATATAAATGCGTTCTCTTCTTTCGTATTCTTCTTGTGATTGCCTGTTTTATGATTAAAGTCTTGTCACATATAAAAGTCTGTAAATTATTTTTCTAAACAATATACTTTTGGAGAAAATACATAAAATATTCTTTATATATTCGTCTGATATCTTAGATGGTACCCTTAAGTATTCTTTCAGCGATATTAACTTTGGCACACAAAATCTTTTACAACAAAGAATAATTTATTTATAGAGAATTTTAATATTTTTTTTTTTTTTAAACTACAAGTTTTATTTTGAATTAGACAGAGAGAAATCAAAGTTTGATACGCAGAAACAGAAGCAGTCGCATTTACTTTCGCTGTTTAATCCCTCGTTAATTTACCGGAAAAATGGAGCTATCAAAGTAGGTAAAATCGAATGTCTCGCTGCTACAAACTTGAGGCATTTAATCATGCGTATGTAGTTCAACATCTTCTCTCGTTTCTCCTCGGTTCTAATGATGGGGATCGTCGTGGAAAGGAGGATAGCGTGCATATATAATATCGCGTAATATCTTTACCATACCGTGTGCATGACATCGCCGAAGCGGATATCGTCAGTGGAAGCAGGGCTGACACGCGAAGATGCAAGGGGACATCAGGATTTCGTCGCTAAAAGAGACGCGCATTTGGATGAGCGTCGTTTTGTCTTTCTCTCGTCCGCGTTTGGATGAAAAATATTACGTTAGGTAAGCGCCCTCGTGTTTCTTACCAATAAAATATTCTAAAGTCGCTTTCCGCGATGCCTGTTGACCGTGATATGGATTTTACGAGTAAGCGATCGTAATTGAACGAGCATAGCACGTGTGAAAGCTATGAGTTAAACGGATGTGGTCAAGTGGTCAAGTTCGGATGGATTTGAGTTAGTGGGTTCTTCAATTATATGCACACAGACGTACCACTTCATCGCCAGGCACACATTGAAAGGTAATAGTGTCGATTAGCGACTTTCATTTTTATTGTGCTAGGGCAAGGATTGAATCTCTCAATACCGGTATGATCTTTCATTGCCGCAGACATACTAAATCTAAATGATTTCTATTGATATTAATCATGATAATATAAATTATATATTATTATATATAAATTATATATTTAAATAATATAAATATTCATACGTAAAATATATAATATTTACAGAAAATTAAATTTGCCAAGATTATACTGGTTCTAATCCTTGTAAGAGAAATCAGTAGGATATCCTGCAAAAAGTAAAACATGACAGAAATGTGGCTAATACAGATTTTAAATAAATCAGAAAAATCTTCTATTTCCGATTAGTTTTAAACAAATTATATAAAAATATTTGTTTAAATATGTTGTATTATATAAAAATATTTAAAGAGATTTATATCGAGATTTTAAAAAATTCTGAAGAATATTTATAAAAAAGAGACTATTCGTTTGCCGCTACAGTATATGCATAATATATTAATGAAATCATTGCGAGGCCGCATCCCTGACTAATGATTATATTAAAATGATAAGTAAATGTGATATTTTTCGTAAATTGCGAAAAATTGCGATTTATTAAAAGCAAGTATAAAACTCTCTCAGTATTATCTTCCGTTGAATTATATTGAAGCTTTGTATTATATCTGCATGTCATTTTTCACAATGGACTGCTGATCTTCAATTAGTATCGCATCGCGTTTATCAAGTTTGTTTTTTTAAAGATTAATTGGTAAAAGTACAAAGCTCACGTACAAGCTCACGTCAAGATATCTAATTTTTTACAAAACACGGAAAATATACTTTTTATTAGAAACTTATATATACATATAGAGTATTCGAAAAAACCATTCAATATTTATATGGTAGATAGGACACACCATACTATATAAATATTGAATGGTTTTTTTTTAACACCCTGTATATAAAATGCGCGATGGTTATATAAATTATAGATATAAGATATTTTCTATGTGAAAAATTTTTGAAGAAGAAAAGCTAGAGGAAAAGGTGCGGAAGAGGAATTCGTTGCGTGAATCAGACGAACTGTTGTTCGAATTTCTTCGGTGAATAATTATCACATTGCATATTTACTTTCCATATTCATAAACTGTGTATGCGGCAAGATCTAAACAGAAAATATCGTTATTATGCGTTACTGAGCATATCTAAATGACAACAATTTCTCCTTACTTTATTATTTGCTAGAAAGTAACTGATCGCTGACCTCTTATGCAGACAAAATATCAGTTTGTTAGTAAACATCAGTTAATTGTGAATATGTTGAATTTACGTGAATTAAAGTTTCTCCTTAGAAAGTCTTTGTGATAGAATTAATGCAACGTTCCACTTTTCGTGTAATACAGATTATTGCAACAATGGCATATAATATGCTCAATAAAAATTTATACACGTATTGTTTATGCAAATATCTAATGTAATGCAAATATTTAATTAAGTAGCAATATCGCTACTTAAATAATTCATCTGTACTCTGTATGGTACAATCGGGTTTGATACCGCTACTGAAATAGTTCATCAATTCGCATATTTCTATTTTGTACGAGTGGCATAGAAAACAAAAATAAAAAAATGAAAATTTATATAAAATTTCTGATTTTTTATTACATGCTACATATATAAAACATTGCTACATTATAAAACTAGAAATTTTACATTCTCTTCCTCCCAGCATTTTTTATCATAAATCACTCTTCTCCATGATGTTAGTTGTATTTGATAGATAAATATAAAAATAAATAAATA